TCACTACGGACATCACTGAGAATGCAGCCCATCCATTCACTAGAGACATCACTGAGAATGCAGCCCATCCATTCACTAGAGACATCACTGAGAATGCAGCCCATCCATTCACTAGAGACATCACTGAGAATGCAGCCCATCCATTCACTAGAGACATCACTGAGAATGCAGCCCATCCATTCACTACGGACATCACTGAGAATGCAGCCCATCCATTCACTAGAGACATCACTGAGAATGCAGCCCATCCATTCACTACGGACATCACTGAGAATGCAGCCCCATCCATTCACTAGAGACATCACTGAGAATGCAGCCCATCCATTCACTAGAGACATCACTGAGAATGCAGCCCATCCATTCACTACTAGACATCACTGAGAATGCAGCCCATCCATTCACTAGAGACATCACTGAGAATGCAGCCCATCCATTCACTACGGACATCACTGAGAATGCAGCCCATCCATTCACTAGAGACATCACTGAGAATGCAGCCCATCCATTCACTAGAGACATCACTGAGAATGCAGCCCAGCAAACATGGCTCTCCAATACTTATATCTCAGCTGGAGAGCACTGAACTCAGGATGTGCTATAATACAAATACCAAACCCATGAGGAACCCAATATTATATCATAGAAATACCAACCCGTGAGGAACCCAATATTATATCATAGAAATACCAACCCATGAGGAACCCAATATAATACAAATACTGTATAATATAAATACCAACCCATGAGGAACCCAATATTATATCATCACAAATACCAACCCCGTGAGGAACCCAATATTATATAAATACCAACACCGTGAGGAACACAATATAATACAAATACCAACCCATGAGGAACCCAATACAATATAATACAAATACCACCCGTTGAGAAAACCAATATTCTACAAATACCAACCCATGAGAAATCCAATATTATATATCATACTAATACCAACCCATGAGGAACCCAATACAATATTCTACAAATACCAACCCATGAGAAATCCATCATAATACTAATACCAACCCATGAGGACACCAATATTATACGAATCCAACCCATTATTCTAGAATACAAAAGACCAACCCTCAAAGAAACCAATATGATTCAAATACCAACTCATAAAGAAACCAATATAATACAAACACCCACCCACGAGGAACTTGGATCTTGGCCACGCCCACCTTATGCATCGCCCTACTGATGTGACTATGACAGATGTCCTTACTTCTCAATGGAGAAGCACAAGAGAGGGCGTGGCCAAGCTGGACCTTCCTTTCTAAAAGCAGTTTTTGCATTTCTTAAAGCAGATCTGTCTGTCGGCATAAATCAGTTCTTGACATTTACAGCGACATCATTCATTTCCAGACCAGCTCTACCTCTTATCAATAGGAAGCTGTTCTTGAGCTTCAGTTGGTGACTTTGTCTAGGCTATGAATATGACATTAGTCTGCTGCAGGCAGGAAGAAGCATTTCCTCAGTCTCCTCCCCCAGTGATCAGACTGTACATTGTAACTTTGTAGAAGGAGGAGGAAGCGTTTCCTTAGTCTCCTCCCCCAGTGATCAGACTGTCCATTGTAACTTTGTAGAAGGGGGCGGCGTTTCCTCAGTCTCCCCCCCAGTGATCCCCATTGTAACTTTGTAGGAGGAGGAGGTGTTTCAACAGCAACACTGCTCGAGGGCCCGGGGTCAGTAGGGGGCCCCACGAGATGCCCCGTGTACATTTCATTGGCTTTTTCATAGGCTTTTTTGGATGTGGGCAAGAACACAGGGGCCCCATGATCTCCTATTGCCCGGGGGACTGTATATTGTAACCCAGAAGGGGGAGGAGGCATTTCAGTCCCCCTCCCCTGGATCAGACTGTATATTGTAACTTTGTAGAAGGGGGAGGAGGCATTTCCTCAGCCTCCCTTCCCCCAGTGATCGGACTGCACATTGTAACTTTGTAGAAGGAGGAAGCGGCATTTCCTCAGTCTCCCCTCCCCCAGTGATCAGTTTGTACATTGTAACATTGTAGAAGGAGGAGGAGGCATTTCCTCAGTCTCCCCTCCCCAGTGATCAGTTTGTACATTGTAACATTGTAGAAGGAGGAGGAGGCATTTCCTCAGTCTCCCCTCCCCCAGTGATCAGAATGTACATTGTAACTTTGTAGAAGGAGGAGAAGCCGTTTCCTCAGTCTCCCCTCCCCCAGTGATCAGACTGTACATTGTAACTTTGTAGAAGGAGGAGGAGGCATTTCATCAGTCTCCCCCCCAGTGATCAGACCCCCAGTGTGATCAGACTGTACATTGTAACTTTGTAGAAGGAGGAGAAGCCGTTTCCTCAGTCTCTCCCCCCAGTCCCCCAGTGATCAGACTATACACTGTAACTTTGTAGAAGGAGGAGGAGGCATTTCCTCAGTCTCCCCTCCTCCAGTGATCAGACTGTACACTGTAACTTTGTAGAGAAGGAGGAGGCATTGCCTCAGTCTCCTCCCCCAGCGATCAGATTGTACACTGTAGCTGTGTAGTAAGTCACAAGTGAGAGGCTGAAGGGGCTAGTCCATGTCAGACATTTGTGAACACAACCTAGAACTGCACAGGCAGTGACTTTGCCTAGGATGGGATGATGTCATCAGTCTGCTGCAGGCAGGAGGAAGCATTTCCTCAGTCCCCCCTCCCCTCCCCCAGTGATCTAACTGTAACACTGTGAACACAGCCATGAGGATTTCCATGATGGTGTCATCTCTGATCCGGCATCTCAGTCCAAGAAGTAGATGGTGACCCTGGATGACGCCTGAACAAAGATGGCGCCGCCTTCTGAGAGAAGCAGATGAAGGCATTGCAAGGGGGGACATTCCTGAACACCCTACTTACTTAGCCTGCTGCACTCAGCATGAAATATATATCTGATGTTCGCTCGACTCTAAAGGAACATTTGAAAGTTGCACATCAGACGCTCGGCCTTGTAAGTCGCGTCAACCTTTAATGTGCGCTCTCCTCGCGGCTGTCAGTTATGTTAGATTAAAAAAAAAAAACCATTTAGTTTCCCTAAAAACAAGTGGTAATTGCAGCCACTTACTTCAAGTGGTTTTTGATCTTCGTTTTTACAAGAAGCTCCAAATTTTTTTTTTTTCATTTTTTTTTTTTGTGGAAAACATCAAAAAACGATTTCTTGCATCAGACAATGAGCAGACGCGCTACAATACAAATTAACGTGTACTAATCATTGCGTTCCAATCCGGCTCATTGTTGAGGAGACAGCGGGAGAGTCAGCATGTGTCTAAGAGAGAAAAAAAAAAAAAACCTCCAGTTACCTCAAACTTGCGTCTTCCGTAGTAACGCCGCGGCCACCGCCGTTTGAACCGCGGACTTTGTTTCACATGAGAGAGTCTCGCTGATTTCAAAGTGGGGGGAAGGTAAAAATAATTTTACGACGTTGAACGCTCTCATCGGTGCACCTGCTATCCGCCTCGCACGGCGCCGCACCTGCCAGGCCGCTGGAAAACTATTCGCACAATGGCCGCGAGTCCGGGGTCGCCATGGCGATGGATTTATTTGTGTTTACAAGTCGACTTGAAGCCCCCTCGGAACCGCCCCCCCCCGCGTGGCTCTGATTGGAGCTGTCAACTGGCACAAAGCGGACTAACAGCGTGTCACTTACTCGAGCGCGACTCTAATGACAAAATAGCGGCTAAATTGGGAACTGTGCGAAGAGGCCGATATGGCTCTACACCCGCGGAGAGCGCTGAGGTGGAAAGTTTCAGTGAACGCTGAATGTCGTGAAATTTCGAGAACATAAAAAAAATTAAATGAGTTAAAACGCAGTGAGACGGTTTATTCGGGTGATGTTATTTTTTTTTCTATTTATGTTTTTATAACATTTTATAAATCGGTTTATATTAGAGGATTTCTATTTATTTTAAAAAAAAGCAAAAAGTGGCAGAAAGGACACAACAGACAACCCTGTGCAGCAAAAGGATCATTTGTTACATTGTGGGTTACAATTAATGTTACAATGTAAACACTTTGTTATTGATGACGGTGTAACTAGAATATTGTAACTAAAAGTGTTTACATTGTAACTAACAACATTTTTACATTGTGACTATCAAAGTGTTTAGATTGTAACTAGAATATTGTAACTAACAACATTTTTACATTGTGACTATCAAAGTGTTTACATTGTAACTGTAATATTGTAACTAACAACATTTTTACATTGTAACTGTAATATTGTAACTAACAACATTTATACATTGAAACTATCAAAGTGTTTACATTGTAACTAACAACATTTTTACATTGTGACTATCAAAGTGTTTACATTGTAACTAGAATATTGTAACTAACAACATGTTTACATTGTGACTGTCAAAGTGTTTACATTGTAACTAGAATATTGTGACTAACAAAGTGTTTACATTGTAACTGTAATATTGTAACTAACAACATTTATACATTGAAACTATCAAAGTGTTTACATTGTAACTGTAATATTGTAACTAACAACATTTTTTACATTGTAACTGTAATATTGTAACTAACAACATTTATACATTGAAACTATCAAAGTGTTTACATTGTAACTAACAACATTTTTACATTGTGACTATCAAAGTGTTTAGATTGTAACTAGAATATTGTAACTAACAACATTTTTACATTGTGACTATCAAAGTGTTTACATTGTAACTAGAATATTGTAACTAACAACATGTTTACATTGTGACTATCAAAGTGTTTACATTGTAACTAGAATATTGTGACTAACAAAGTGTTTACATTGTAACTGTAATATTGTAACTAACAACATTTATACATTGAAACTATCAAAGTGTTTACATTGTAACTATCACAGTTACAATGTAAACACTTTGTTAGTCACAATATTCTAGTTACAATGTAAACACTTTGATAGTCACAATGTAAACATGTTGTTAGTTACAATATTAACGTGTTTACATTGTAACATTGTAATATTGTAACTAACAATGTGTTCAGGGGCAGACAGACAACTCATGGAGCCCCCGGGCAATAGGGGATCATGGGGCCCCTGTGTCCTCACCCACACTCAAACTACCTCCCAAAAAAGCCTATGAAAGGTACCAGGGACATCTCATGGGGCCCCCTACTGACCCCGGGCCCTCAGGAAGTGCCCGAGTTCCCCAATAGTCAGTCCGCCCCTGAACGTGTTACATTGTAACTATAATATTGTAACTAACAACGTGTTACATTGTAACTGTAATATTGTAACTAACAACATGTTTACATTGTAACTGTAATATAGTAACGATCAAAGTGTTTACATTGTAACTAATATTGTAACTAACAAAGTGTTTACATTGTAACTGTAATATTGTAACAAAGTGTTTACATTGTAACTGTAATATTGTAACAAAGTGTTTACATTGTAACTGTAATATTGTAACTAACACCGTGTTTACATTGTATCTGTAATATTGTAACAAAGTGTTTACATTGTAACTGTAATATTGTAACAAAGTGTTTACATTGTAACTGTAATATTGTAACAAAGTGTTTACATTGTAACTGTAATATTGTAACTAACACCGTGTTTACATTGTATCTGTAATATTGTAACAAAGTGTTTACATTGTAACTGTAATATTGTAACAACGTGTTTACATTGTAACTGTAATATTGTAACAAAGTGTTTACATTGTATCTAATATTGTAACAAAGTGTTTACATTGTATCTGTAATATTGTAACAAACGTGTTTACATTGTATCTGTAATATTGTAACTAACAAAGTGTTTACATTGTAACTAATATTGTAACTAACGTGTTTACATTGTAACTGTAATATTATAAATAACAACGTGTTTACGTTGTAACTATCAAAGGTTTTACATTTTACCTTTTATGCAAGCAGTTTTTTCTCTTTACGTCATTCTATTTATCAGCGCTCGTTTACCAAATCTAAAGTGTTTACATTGTAACTCTAATATTGTAACTTTGTTAGTTATAATCTAGTTACAATGTAAACGCTGGGTTAGTTATAATAATATAATTGCAATGTAAAGACTTTGATAGATACAATTTTATACTGTAGTTGCAATGTGAACACTTTCCTAGTTACAATATTATAGTTACAATAGTAACAAACTGTTTAAATTGTAACATTCATTACGATATTGGTTACAATGTAAACACTTTGTTAGCTACAATTTTATAGTTTCAATGTAAACACTTTCCTCATTACAATATCATAGCTCCAATAATATAGTTACAATATAAACACTAAAATCAGACCTCTCCCACTTTTCAGAGATGTGTGCTGATGTGAAATCATCCAAAAAAAAAAAAAAATTAAACCTCTTTTTTGCTTTTCTTTTCCTTTTTTCCTGTTCTCCCTGAAGACGCACTCCTTGCACTGACGACATGCACAGATGCCCGCTGGGAATCCTGCATCACCAGTGCCTTCAGGGAAATCTTGCTCCTAACTGCAAGATCTCAGGAAAAAAAAAAAAGGGGTCTTTTTTTTTTTTTTTCTTTTTTTTAAACAGACTAATATAACTTCATATGGACCATAGGTAACATGAACCACATGACATCATAATCCATATCATGCATGTTTAGCAAACTTTGGACCCTCCCATACATTGATGTGGTATACCAGATGAGGTGCATGAGGTCACCAAGGGCCAACCGATTGCCTTCTCTGCTGGCCCAACAATGAGGTCATGTGCCTTCAAAGCTATACTTTGAATGCGGTTTCACCAAGGTGCAGTCCATCTACGTCCCCTTGTACCACCTGGGGACTACAATAGTACAAGGGGGAAAAAGGAGAAAAGAAACAGAGGAAGGAAATTGGGTAGTGGGGGAAGGGGGGTGTAGACAAGGATTGGAATGAGAGGCAGCATGACAACTCAAGTCTACTGTATATAGGAGCTGTGGTGACAGGCATTCCTCAGGGGCAGATCAGGATGCTCACAACATTTAAGAGCCTCCAGAGATAGGGATTTTCTGAGATCTCATACTAGTGGAGATCACAGTATTCTCCCGGAGATTTGTTTGTGAGCAAACCCCTTAGGTGGGATATATCTATGGAGGGGACAGGGTGCGCTACTCCAAAGAACTCAATGTGAATACAAGGGACCCAAAGGTCATGGAAGCAGTCTTCATGACTACTGTGAAGGAGGGCCATTAGACTTTCCATTCTCACCAGTGACTAAAGTTCTTTCACCCAATTGTTCATGGTGGTGGTGGTGGTGGTGGTGGTGGTGGTGGATGAGTGCCAATGTCTTGGGACAAGGGTTTGCATGGCCAATACAATAAAGAGAGGTATAGTCTTAGAGATATGAGAATATGATCCCTGCAGGATCAACAATGGGACTATACTGGTAGAGTTGGTTCTTGTACCCAGTTGTTTATGGTGGTGGTGGTGGATGAGCATCAGTGTCTTGGAATAAGGGTTTTCTGTCCAATATGAAAAAAAAGAAGTCTTACGAGATACGGGAATATGATTCGGGAACAATCGACATTAGGGCCATATTGGGACGGTTGTTTTTTGTACCCAATCGTTTATGGTGGTGATGGATAAGCACTAATGTCTTGGAATAAGGGTTTGCATGGCCAGTATATAAAAAGAGAAATCTTATGGGATACGGGAATATGATTCGGGAAGGATTGTTAATAGGACTATATTGGGAGGGTTCTGATAACCAATCATTTATGGTGGTGGTGGATAAGCACCAATGTCTTGGAATAAGGGTTTGCATGACCAGTATAAAAAAGAGAAGTGTTATGGGATATGGGAATATGATTCGGGAAGGATTGGTAATAGGACTATATTGGGAGGGTTCTGGTACCCAATCATTTTTGGTGGTGGTGGAGGTGGTGGTGGATAAGCACCAATGTCTTGGGATAAGGGTTTGCATGGCCAGTATAAAAAAGAGAAAACTATATTGGAAGGGTTGGTTCTTGTACCCAATCATTTGTGGTGGTAGTGGTGGATGAGTGCCAATGTCTTGGGATAAGGGTTTGCATGGCCAATACAATGAGAGGTAAAGTCTTAGAGATATGGGAATTATGATCCCGGCAGGATCAACACTACAGCTATACTGGTGGAGTTGGTCCATGTACCCAATCGTTTATGATGATGGTGGTGGTGGATGAGCATCAGTGTCTTGGAATAAGGGTTTGCTGGCCAATATGAAAAAAGAGAAGTAAAGTCTTACGAGATATGGGAACATGATTCAGGAACAAAAACGACACTAGGGCCATATTGGGAGGGTTGTTTTTTGTACCCAATCGTTTATGGTGGTGATGGATAAGCACTAATGTCTTGGAATAAGGGTTTGCATTGCCAGTATAAAAAAGAGATGTCTTATGGGTTACGGGAATATGATTTGGGAAGGATTGGTAATAGGACTATATTGGGAGGGTTCTGATACCCAAACATTTATGGTGGTGGTGGTGGATAAGCACCAATGTCTTGGAATAAGGGTTTGCATGGCCAGTATAAAAAAAGAGAAAACTCTATATTGGGGGGGTTGGTTCTTGTACCCAATCATTTGTGGTGGTAGTGGTGGATGAGTGCCAATGTCTTGGAATAAGGGTTTGCATGGCCAATACAATGAGAGGTAAAGTCTTAGAGATATGGGAATTATGATCCCGGCAGGATCAACACTACAGCTATACTGGTAGAGTTGGTCCATGTACCCAATCGTTTATGATGATGGTGGTGGTGGTAGTAGATGAGCATCAGTGTCTTGGAATAAGGGTTTGCTGGCCAATATGAAAAAAAAGAAGTAATGTCTTACAAGATACGGGAACATGATTCAGGAACAATCGACACTAGGGCCATATTGGGAGTGTTGTTTTTTGTACCCAATCGTTTTGGTGGTGGTGATGGATACGCACTAATGTCTTGGAATAAGGGTTTGCATTGCCAGTATAAAAAAAGAGAAGTCTTATGAGATATGGAAATATGATTTGGGAAGGATTGGTAATAGGACTATATTGGGAGGGTTCTGATACCCAAACATTTATGGTGGTGGTGGTGGATAAGCACCAATGTCTTGGAATAAGGGTTTGCATGGCCAGCATAAAAAAGAGAAAACAATATTGGGAGGGTTGGTCCATGCACCCAATCATTTGTGGTGGTGGTGGATGAGTGCCAGTGTCTTGGGATAAGGGTTTGCATGGCCAATACAATGAGAGGTAAAGTCTTAGAGATATGGGAATTATGATCCCGGCAGGATCAACACTACAGCTATACTGGTAGAGTTGGTCCATGTACCCAATCGTTTATGATGGTGGTGGTGGATGAGCATCAGTGTCTTGGAATAAGGGTTTGCATGGCCAGTATAAAAAAAAGAGAAAACTCTATATTGGGAGGGTTGGTTCTTGTACCCAATCATTTGTGGTGGTGGTGGAGTGCCAATGTCCTTGTACCTAATCGTTTATGATGTTGGTGGTGGTAGTTGAGCATACACCAGTGTCTTGGGATAAGGGTTTGCATGACCAAAATAAAAAAAAAAGAGAAGTTTTATGAAATATGGGAATATAAGTTGGGAAGGATCAACAATAGGGCTATATTGGGAGGGTTGGTTCTTGCACCCAATCATTTGTGGTGGTGGTGGAGTGCCAATGTCTTGGGATAAGGGTTTTCATGGCCAATACAATGAGAGGTAAAGTCTTAGAGATATGGCAATTATGATCCCGGCAGGATCAACACTACAGCTATACTGGCAGCGTTGGTCCTTGTACCCAATCGTTTATGATGGTGGTGGTGGTAGTTGAGCACCAGTGTCTTGGGATAAGGGTTTGCATGGCCAAAATAAAAAAAGAGAAGTCTTATGAGATATGGGAATATGATTTTGGAAGGATCAACAATAGGGCTATATTGGGAGGGATGGTTATGGTTGCATCCAAGACCAAGTAGTAGCTGTAAAATATTGCATCCCAGAACTGCTTGATGCATTGGCACCTCCATCAGACGTTTAACATAATGCCTTTGGGTGTATCACAGTGCCAGCAGTGGAGAGATGTTGTCAGAAAAAATCTTGTGACAATTGTAGGGTTTTTTTCGGACCAGCCGATTAATACTTTCTATCCATGTTCTTGAACGGTGGCGGCTGTAGCAAGCATATGCATAGTAACAAAGGCCTTGGAGATTTAATTTTTTTGTGCAAATTCAGTGTCCAGCTCCCGTTCTCATTGGGCAATGTAGTAGGGGCTCTGACCTGACTGTTCAGTCAATAGAAGGTTGTATAGCACAGAAACAGTGGCATGGGCTCTGGGAGGACGGCTAAGAAGTTCAAAAGCTGTATAGGGCCTTCAAAAGGGAGCCTAGTAGACCGGTAGAAACTGTGCATTTGGAAATAATGGAGGCATTTCCCTAATGGTGGGACCTGGTCTGGGAGGACATCTTACAGAGGTTTATGGCCCTCAGCAGCAAAGACCTAATAGATGGGCGAGGGTCAATCACATCCCCATTAAAGTAAGGGGAGATTGTGCACTCCAGGGGGAGGGGTGGGATTTATTCCCTGTTTAAGGGGTTCATTCTTTGGCCACACAAGGATGGAAATAAATAGGCAATTCAAAGACAATGCCAGTATTTTCCTTTGTCTTGCCTGGCCTCTGCATCCTACTGATAGGTAACCGGGCTCTCAGGGGTCACTGGAGATGGTGCTTGTGTAGGACTGAGAGCCTGGTTACTTTGTAACCTTTTTTTTCTAGGATTAATTGGTGATGATACAATTGAAAAAAAAAAAAAAAAAAAAAAAGACACAAGAAACGGGTGATTGACTCTCATGCTGTTCCAACATGGCCGATCCAGAAGAAGCAAAGCTCAAAAAAAACAGTCAACAATTTATCATACCATGCAAATAAAATGTCCCTCCCCCCCCTCAATCGGTGGCAGTTCATTTACTCCTGATATTGATTATCCTATCGTCCTAATCCTGATTATAGGAGGGCTCGCCAGTTCTAGCAACAAAGGCTGCAATTCCTCATTTCAAGTGAAACGCAAAATAAGTAGAAAAGACACAAATGAATGCAAAATGATACATCAATAAATTAATTATTTAATGCAAACAATGTTAGTACTTGAACCTCCCTAAGTGGCAGCCTCTTTGAAATCCCTGTAAAGCAGAGCTCAGACTGAACAGTCAATCAGCTGTGCTGTAGTGCAACGGTCATGCGGATAGGAGGAGTGAGCAGAGTGACATAGATTTTTGGTCTGCCGCTTCTCCTTTTCTGCCCAATCACAAGCTGGGAGAGGGGCAAGACCTATAAGTGTTACTAAGCTGCAGCAGAAAATAATAAGGTCTGTGCTGTGCGCAGGGGCGTATTTACCACAAGGGAAACCAGGCACTTGCCTAGGGCGGCATTGTTTCAGGGGGGCAGCTGCATTTTTTTTTTAGGGGGCAGTGGCATTTTTCTGGGGGGGCAGAGATGCCCCCTGAACAAAGAGATGGAAGAAAGGACACACAAAGCATGGGGACCAGGTCAGATCTGAGAGAGGCTGTGGGCTGCTTGATGTATGCAGAGCCTGATCAGGGGCGGACTGACCATTTGGAAACTCGGGCACTGCCCGAGGGCCTGGGGTCAATAGGGGGCCCCATGAGATGCCCCTGGTACCATTTTCATAGGCTTTTTGAGTTTGGGCAAGGACACAGGGGCCCATGATCCCCTATTGCCCGGGGGCCCCATGAGTTGTTGGTCCGCCCCTGTTTGCACGCCATACGACTTGACAAGTCGCACCCTATTGTCCGCAGTTACAGCGGTCATATCGGTGCCGTTCTGACTTGGCTGGAGCCGCACCAATTGCCCGGGGGCCCCATGAGTTGTCAGTCCGCCCCTGAGCCTGACTCTTGTTCCCGTGGATGTCCGGAGCAGTGAAGGTGTCTTTTCTCTTGTCAGGGTGGGGTGGGTTGCCAGTGTATGGGGGGCGGTGGTAGTGGAAGGCTCTCTTGGGTGGGGGGACTGTGGTGGGGTCAGGCTCTTATCATGAGGGAGTTTGGGCAAGGACACAGGGGCCCATGATCCCCTATTGCCCGGGGGCCCCATGAGTTGTCAGTCTGCCCCTGAGCCTGACTCTTGTTCCCGTGGATGTCCGGAGCCGTGAAGGTGTCTTTTCTCTTGTCAGGGTGGGGTGGGTTGCCAATGTATGGGGGGCGGGTGGTAGTGGAAGGCTCTCTTGGGTGGGGGGACTGTGGTGGGGTCAGGCTCTTATCGTGAGGGAGGGGGGAGTTTGTCAGGGTCTTTTCATATGGGTGGAGACGATTTTTGTGTTGCCTAGGTCAGCACAAAACCTAAATACACCACTGGCTGTGCGGCAGAGCTGTATAAATATCAGGAATGGATGGAGAGAGGTGCAAATTCTTCGACGGTTTATGTATTTCATCTGTATATTTAGTCATTTGAATTTATAGTGTGGATGGTCCTCACCGCTCTTACTACAAAGGATTTCGATATTTTGTACCTGACACTATGTAGCATCAAGATCCTCCTGACCTCTAGGTAGCATCAAGATCCTCCTGACCTCTAGGTAGCATCAAGATCCTCCTGACCACTAGGTAGCATCAAGGTCCTCCTGACCACTAGGTAGCATCAAGATCCTCCTGACCACTAGGTAGCATCAAGGTCCTCCTGACCTCTAGGTAGCATCAAGGTCCTCCTGACCTCTAGGTAGCATCAAGATCCTCCTGACCACTAGGTAGCATCAAGATCCTCCTGACCTCTAGGTAGCATCAAGATCCTCCTGACCTCTAGGTAGCATCAAGATCCTCCTGACCTCTAGGTAGCATCAAGATCCTCCTGACCACTAGGTAGCATCAAGATCCTCCTGACCTCTAGGTAGCATCAAGATCCTCCTGACCTCTGCGCCCTTCCTGCACTCCTTTAATGTGGTGGTAGATCCGCACAGCACAGACACCAGCTAAGTATCTGCAGATCACACGGAGCCTGGATGAGAACAGATGGAGGAACGTGGGACTCCGCAGACTCCTACATGTCCCTCCGGAAAGTCACTGGCACATTCAACCATGAGAACACTTGTTTTTGTTCTGCGGGAAAGTCTCCCCTCTCAGAACCATTCATTCCGCTATATAATAAAATAGAACGAGAGATTTAAAAACTCTGCATTTATCGAGGCAGCTGTTCAGTGTTTGACGGCCAATGGGGCATTCAGGTCCATTGACCCTCCCGGGGCCATGCGACTCCAGAAGCCTCATCTGAAACCAGCCCTAGAATGGATGTCCAGGGAGGTTCTGCCAAACCACTCTGAGATCTAAGAAGTCACCCAACAACCAGTCCTGTATGGCCGATTCCCGGTACGGGCTCAACCTTCATACAGCCCTCCTGCAAAGGACACCAAAAAGTTGATTAAATTAAAGGGTCAATCCATCTAGAACTGAAATTTCCAGGTTTGTTAGATACGGAGTCTGATAAGAAGAAAGAAGCAACTGAATGCCTAAACTCCTGCGCTGGACAATGGACTCCACCATATCTGTAGCCCCACATGGAGTGTATAAGGAATGCAAGTCTCCATCTTCAGGTAGCCATTAACCTCCCTAGCGGTCTGATTATGTCAGTATTTCTGTGCTCAAAGCGGTACTTTTTTTTGCATACAAATATGTATTTTTTTTTTTATTGTAGGCCTGTAATTTTTAGGAATAACTCCCTGAAATCTGTCTGAACAAGAGTCTAGTGAACATCCCGGGGATGATAAAATATGAAACACGAAATCATAAATTATAATTTAATAATCATAAAAAATAATATAATAATAATAAATTTAATTCAATAATATAATCAAACCAAAAACACTGAAATGTGAAATAGAGCGCCAAGTTCGCACATCGCTGAGCTCAGTCGCAGAATCGTTTTCAGTGTCTGATGAGGAATTTCCCCCACCAATCATTATCACTCAATTCTGCAAGTGGTTCTGATTTACTATCGCTGTTCTCTAGCCGGTCTAAAACCGCGTCTGACCTAAAGGGACGCTTTTTGGACGCCATGGACGTTTCTCAGTTTCCAGGCAGAAAGAACAGTAAAAATGCAGGCAGGGCGCCGGACAAAGCACTCGGGACACAATGCATGTGAAATGGTTGGATACAGGAATGTTATACTATGTGATTTTAGTGAATTTAGTGAATGTCACTTTTTGACATTTCTGAATTTCCCGCCGTTCCCTCCCCCGTACGACCCGACGTCGCAGAGAACGGAATCCAGAAGACGGATGCTGGCATCGGCCGGAGGACATTGCCGGGGACACTACAGGAGGGACATCGCGGGAGCGCAGGACAAGGTAAGTAAAGAAGAGATCCCGGAGCAACGCTGCAGTGTATTCCCGAGTGTAGCTCGGGGGGGTTACCGCTTGTGGTGCTGAAACTTTACCCCGAGCTACACTCGGGAATACCTCCAGGGGGGTTAAGAGGTCTACAGTCCCCCACCAGCACCTTCCAGGGAGATTGGACCATGCTGCATTTCCTGTGACATGCTTTTGATTTTTTATTCCTTTGTGAGTATTATACTTTATATTAATAAATCTCTATTTTAAAAGGGTAATGCACTATTCCCGTGCGCCCTCTTGTTTCTTTGTCTGTTATTAGATACTGAGAACCAGCCTCTTGTGCCCATTGTGGGTAGGGATGACACTGGACCTTAATCTAGCCCAGGGGCGGACTGACAACTCATGGGGCCCCCGGGCAACAGGGGATCATGGGGCCCCTGTCCTCACCCACACTCAAACCACACCCAAAAAAGCCCATGAAAGGTACTAGGGGCATCTAATGGGGCCCCCTACTGACCCTGGGCTCTCGGGCAGTGTCCGAGTACCCGAATGGTCAGTCCGCCCCTGTTCTAACATGACTGTTCTGCGAACTGATCAGCCATAACATTATGACCACCCCACCCAATATTGAGTAGGTCCCCCTACAGCCCTGACCCACCAAGACATGGACTCCAGTAGACCTCTGAAGGTACGTGGTGGTATCTGTCACCAAGCCGTCGGTAGCAGATCCTTTAAATCCTGTAAGTTGGGAGGTGGAGCCTCCATGGATCGGACTTGTTTTTCCAGCACATCCCACAGATATTCTATTAATCAGAGATCTAGAGGATTTGGAGGCCAAGTCAACGCCTCAAACTTGTTGTGTTCTTCAGACCATTCTTGAACTATTTTTGCAGTGTGGCAGGGCGCAATATCCTGAGGGCACTGACATCAAGGAATACCGTTTCCATAAAGGGGTGGACCTGGTCCCCAACAATGGTTAGGTAGGTGGTACGTGCCGGGTAACATCCACATGAATGGTCACTACGCCCCGATCTAGCCCCTGGTTACGGAACCACCAAACTAATTAGCCAGTTTGCTAGCCCAAATCTCCATGCTGTAATGTAAAAAAAAAAAACCACTGGGAGATTTGTGGTGCCGCTCAAGGCTCAGTACAGGTAAAAGTCACCCCGCCGGCAGAGAAAGAAGAGGGGAACAGCGTCCCAGGTTATTCCAGAAGCTGATAGGGTGTGTGAAGAAGCAGACACTGTTCAAAACCGATCCCCGGAGTCAAACAATGACGTTGTAGATGGCCTCAGCCGCCACTCCAGCCAAGCCCTTGGTCATAGGTGGGGTGAAATGCATCAGGTGGCGTGGCTGGAGGGGGAGGCCATCTACAACATGCCATCATTGCTGGACTCTAACACAGTTTGAACTGGATGGACAGGCGTCTTTATTCAACCCTAATGACTATGAATGAACTAAAAAGGGGGAAAGTTGGCTTAACTCAATTACCTGGAAGGTGATGGATATCTGGGATTAAGGAAGCTTCCAGATTTTACTATAACCTTCGCCTTCATATCCTTTTTTGGGGGGCTCAGATGTGGGCAAGAGATCATTGACCTTCATATCCTTTTTTGGGGAGCTCAGATGTGGGCAAGAGGTCATTGACCTTCATATCCTTTTTTGGGGAGCTCAGATGTGGGCAAGAGGTCATTGACCATCAATGTTTGGACAAGGTGTCTTAAAAGGAGGAAAGGTATGGGCTATCCTCCCTTCCCTGGCCCCTCAGGCTGCATGCCTAGAGAATGGTCTGGTTGGAATATTATGGGGAACCCTGCACTCGAATTTTCTATAAATTACTACAATTTTTAAAGAACTACATTGGCCTGTTCTGTAACACCAAGTTCACCTTTAACAAAACCCTCAAGCATGGTTTAAAGGATCTATGCATTTTCAATGTTGCCCTATGAGCCGCCTAAAGAGACCCACTCCCCACTGTATGCTATTTTTATTTTTTAACATTAGTACAGGTTCCCCATGCCAGAGCCCAACAACAGATTGCCTATTAGCTTTGAAAATAGTTTCATCTCTTATAGACTTCAATGGGGTTCAACGGTAGGTTTGGGGCTCCCTGAATTCCCGTGGGTTTGACAAACCCGATCTGAACCGAACCCTGGCAGATTCCCTCATATTATATAGAATGTAGCAGGAGGAGCTGGAACACACAAAGGTGAGTGAGAACAAATGTCGGCAAAGTCAGGGATCAAGACCACTGAACTCCACCTTCAGAAGACGTTTACCACTTTTCTAAGGGCTTGTTTACACTTGTTTCTCTTTCTTGGCTTTTCAAAGAGTCTCCAAAGTCTCCATAGAAGTCTATGAGAACGATCGCTTCGAGCACCTGAAGCTTTTGAGGCTTTTATTCAGAGCTAGGTTCGCTTTGTTTTGGAGGTATTGCAGGTATGAGATATCCCAGGATGCACTGGGAAACCAACAAGGGAACCAGAAAGACATCAGCAGTCACTTATGGTTCATGTGTAAATATTCTGAGAGTGTCTGGTGTGGACGTCACATGTGGTATGTAGCGTGGAGCAGCAGGAAGGTGAGCGGGGTCCAGAATGGGACAACAAGCATTCAGATGTGCAACACGGGAGCTCTATAGCAGAAGGTGAGTGGGGACCAGAGAGTGGATTGAGCAGCAGAGGATCTGCAGAGCTGGGGGACCAGAACAGGAGAAACTACCAATGTTACCTATGGTGAGCAGCATGGGAGCAATATAGCAGGAGGTGAGCATAGCCCAGAGAGAGAGGAGTATCAGCAAACCAGAGGATCAGCAAAGTTGGGGGTTTCTATTGAGTGGGGGATCAACAGAGCTTGGGGTTACTACTGAGTAGAGCATCAGAAAAGCTGGGGATTGCTACTGAGTGGGGGATCAGCAGAGCTGGGGGTTACAACTGAGCGGGGGGATCAGCAGAGCTGTGGGTTAATACTGAGCGGGGGATCAGCACAGCTGTGGGTTAATACTGAGCGGGGGATCAGCAGAGCTGGGGGTTACTACTGAGCGGGGGATCAGCAGACCTGTGGGTTAATACTGAGCGGGGGATCAGCAGAGCTGGGGGTTACTACTGAGCGAGGGATCAGCAGAGCTGGGGGTCACTATTGAGCGAGGGATCAGCAGAGCTGGGGGTTACTACTGAGCAAGGAATTAGCAGAGCAATTGCAGGCAGCACATATTATGTGCAACATGGGAATACTATAGCGGACAGTGATCGGAGACTGGAGAGAGAGGATTGAGCTGCAGAAGATCAGCAGAGCTGGAGAACCAGAGCAGGAGAAACTAGCAATGTCACACATGGTACGCAGCGTGAGCAATATAGTGGGAGGTGAGTGGAGACCAGAGAGAGGAGAATCAGCAAACCGGAGGATTAGCAGAGCTGGGGGTTACTACTGAGTGGGGAATAAAGAGGTTTGGGGGTTACTATGAAGTAGGGCATCAGCAGAGCTGGAGGTTTCTAGTGAGCGGGGGATCAGCAGAGCAACTAGCAGAGCAGCACATGTGGTGTGCAACATGAGAATGCTATAGCAAAAGGTGATCGGAGACTGGAAAGAGAGGATTGAGTGGCAGAGGATCAGCAGAGCTGGGGGAACAGAGCCGGAGAAACTAGCAATGTCACACATGGTGTGCAGCGTGGAAGCAATATAGCAGAAAGCAGGGGCGGACTGACCATTCGAGCATTCGGGCAGTGCCCGAGGACCCGGGGTCACTAGGGGGCCCCATGAAATGGCCCTGGTACCTTTTATAGGCTTTTTTGGATGTGCTTTGAGTGTGGGCAAGGACACAGGGGCCTTATGATCCCCCATTGTCCAGGGGCCCCATGAGTTGTCAGTCCACCCCTGGCAGGAAGTGAGCGAGCCCAGAGAGGAGAATTAGCAAACCAGAGAGAAAGAGGAGATTCAGCAAACCAAAGGAACAGCAGAGCTAGGGGTTACTACTGAGTGGGGGATCATCAGAGCTGGGGGATACTACTGAGTGGGGGATCATCAGAGCTGGGAGATACTACTGAGTGGGGGATCATCAGAGCTGGGAGATTACTACTGAGTGGGGGATCATCAGAGCTGGGAGATACTACTGAGTGGGGGATCAGAGCTGGGAGATACAGAGCTCATCAGAGCTGGGAGATACTACTGGGGGACGGGGAGTTAGTGTATTGGAGACTGGAGAGAGGAGTGAGTGGCAGAAGATCAGCAGAGCTGGGGAACCAGAGCAGGAAAACTAGCAATGTCACACATGGTGCGCAGCATGGGAGCAATAAAGTGGGAGGTGAGTGGAGCCCAGAGAGAGGAGAATCAGCAAACCAGAGGATTAGCAGAGCTGGGGGTTACTAGTGAGCAGAGGATCAGCAGAGAAACTAGCAGACCAGCACATGTAGTGTGCAACATGGGAATACTATAGCAGAAGGTGATCGGAGACTGAAATGAGAGGATTGAGTGGCCAAGGATCAGCAGAGCTGGGGGAACAGAGCAGGAGAAACTAGTAATGTCACACTTGGTGCGCTCCATGGAAGGAATATAACAGGAAGTGATCGAGCCCAGAGAGGAGAATTAGTAAACCAGAGAGAGAGATGAGATTCAGAAAACCAAAAGATCAGCAGAGATAGGGGTTACTACTGAGTGGGGGATCATCAGAGCTGGGGGTTACTACTGAGTGGGGGATCATCAGAGCTGAGGGTTACTACTGAGTGGGGGAATTTCAGAGCTGGGGGTTACTACTGAGTGGGGGTTCAGAAGAGCTGGGGGTTAGTAATGAGTGAGGGATCAGCAGAGCTGGGGTTTACTACTGAGTGAGGGATCAGCAGAGCTGGGGGTTACTAATGAGTGAGGGATCAGCAGAGCTGGGGGTAACTACTGAGTGGGGGATCAGCAGAGCTGGGGGTTACTACTGAGCAGGGATAAGCAGAGCCAACCATTACTAATGAAAAGGGGATCTGCTGAACCAGGGTACCAATAAGCTGGGGATCTGCTGAACGAGGGTATTCCAATGAGCTGGGCATCTGCTGAACCAGAGTACCAATAAGCTGGGGATCTGCTGAACGAGGGTACCAATGAGCTGGGGATCTGCTGAACGAGGGTACCAATGAGCTGGGGATCTGCTGAACGAGGGTACCAATGAGCTGGGAATCTGCTGAACGAGGGTACCAATGAGCTGGGGATCTGCTGAACGAGGGTACCAATGAGCTGGGGATCTGCTGAACGAGGGTACCAATGAGCTGGGGATCTGCTGAACGAGGGTACCAATGAGCTGGGGATCTGCTGAACGAGGGTACCAATGAGCTGGGGATCTGCTGAACAAGGGTACCAATGAGCTGGGGATCTGCTGAACAAGGGTACCAATAAACTGAGGATCTGCTTAGTTGGGGGTACTAATGAGTTGGGGTTCTGCAGGGCTCCTTTAGAAAAAAAAAATCATAAACCAGCACACACAGGGCCTTTGCCAAGCTTCATTTAGGCTTCAAAAAAAGCATCACCGAAGCATCACAAACACATAAAAAAGGCATTTAGCAGTGCGAGGCGCTTTAATGTGTGTTAAA